TATTTAGATTAAAATATAAATTACTGTCAGGATCAGTAATACTCAACCAGGAAGTGATTGAATCTTAATGTTGTCAGATTACTCTTTTACTCCTCTCCTGAGGAGCCTATTCTTTGCTTTTATTATGTCTTCTAAATCCCAGTTTTGTTACTTCTAAATTATCGAGTGAGCTCTGCTGTGCTTCTTAGACTCTTACGATTTCCCAGTGTCATGTGATTCTTAAGCTTTTATTAGGAATGTGGTTCTTTCAGGCTTATCAGATAACCTGTAACTTTGCTGATTTTATAAATGAGACGAAGTATTTAAACTTTTTTCCTTGGTTGCTAAACATTTTAAACCCATAATTAATAGAAACTATGTGTTTTGTGTTTCTCAGAGTTACGGTAGTAACAGGAGTGAAGATGTCTTTTGTGACCCTGCAGACGAGTGGGAACCTGACATTACGGATGTACCAGTTTCTTCATTTTCTAGAAGGAGGTAAGGACACTCGGTTATTGGCTTTCTTGTTCTGGGTGAACATGTGTATCATTTCCTTTTTAAAGAACTGTCTGTTGTCATGATGGGTGTCTGTGAAGGGAGCCCCGCTGTGGCACGTTGCCGATCAAGGCACAGCACTTAGGGCATCACCCTGAGAACAGGAGGCAAAACCCTCAGTGTGTGACCAGGTGAGTTTCAAGAGTAATTTACAATACCGTAAGTCTCATTTCCTATAGAAGTGAACAGTGTTTATTACTTTATTACTTTATTTATTACTTTATTAATTAATTAATTAATTTAAGTGTTTATTACTTTAAATTGCCCTCTCACAGAAACTTGGCATATTCTATGATACTGTGGTGTAAGTTGTATGGTTTTAAATGCCATCGGGTTAGTGTGAGCACCACTGAACAAGACACCATGGCGATAGAGGACTTCTGCTTATTAAAATGTCACAGACTTCCACGGTGAATAGATGCTTTTCAAGTGAAAACTGGCTCTGCTTACAGCCCGCACACTTAGGTTACAAAGGGGCAGAGTGGTGTAACAGAAGGGCCTTCCTCTTTGATTTAGTGTTGCACCTTAGTTTGGTTTTTAAACAAATACTTCTTTTTAAATACTTCTTAGTTCGGTTTTTAAACAAGACCGCTGTCTGCCATGCCCAAGGGTACCAAGATGAACACAAAAGACTCCCTGTCCTTGGAGGCCAGGACTTGGGGAACGACAGGCCTGAGCCGTTGATGAAGCCCTGAGCTGAGGCCGGGCGGGAATGGAGGGGCCAGGTTTTGCCTGCACTCGGGAGGCAGAATCCACGGGATGTGGTGGCCAGTGTGGGGTTGATGGTGGCGCGGGCTCCAGGGTGAACTGTGGTCCCAGCATGGCCAAGCGGCTGGGGGAGCGTGGTGTTCCCTGAGCAGGGCGGTAGGAGGGGTTATCTGTGGACATGGTGAGCTTGGGGTCCCCAGGGGTCATCCTGGTGTATACTGGGGTCTGAAACTTTGAAGAAGGGCTTAGGGACTTTTCAGGATATCAAGGTCAATGGCATTTCGTCCAGCAGAAGCCTCATTGGCAGGAGCGTCTGCTGAGCACGTGTGAGCAGTGTCTCCTGCAGTACCTTCCACGGAACCCCTGGCCCACCCCCACCTCACGGATTGGGTAGTGAGGGTGTCAAGGGGCTCAGGGACTTGTCCAGAGCCACGTGGCTCATCAGAGGGACCTCGCATCCAGGTCTGGTGACTCCAGAGGTCCTGGTTTCTCGACTGCTGTGTGTGCTGTCTCTGGCACACGGAAGAACAGCATTTTCTGGTGACACTTTTTTTTTAACTTCGTTGCCTTCAGCTGCAGGTCAGAATCCATTTGGGTTTCTAAACCTTTTTAGTTCTTTCTTGTTTTTGACCAGGCTTATTGTAAACTCGTTTATATGAAATTTCCTCAAAGGTGGAACGACTTGAGGGCGACCTTTTCCCTGTTACTTTTGCTTTGTTTACTGCATCCTGACTGCTGAGCAGAGTAACAAATAGTCAAGACCGAACAAGCTATACATTTATGTGCTATACACGTAACAGCCAAGCATTTCAGGGTGGAAGAGATACAGAGCGTGCTCTTTACGCGGGTTCTGGCCTCCTTGAGTGCGCCCCTGCGGGGTGGTGCTGTGACAAGTCCCAGGCTCCTACAGAGCCCTGAGAGCTCATCCGTGCCCTGCGTGGCTGGGCCCGGATGTGGCGTCTCGAGGCTTCAGTTTTCTCATCTGAAATCAGGAGGCGGGACGAGGTCATCTGTGAGGCCCCGTGTCCTGGGAGCCCAGGGTCTGTAATGTGGGACTGGTGGTGGTGATGCTGTGAGGACACCTCCAGCCTTGTAGGGCTGTTCAGTAAGTGGCAGCTCATACTGTTGGGAGCCTAAGATGCACTGAATTAGTGAAATCTTGGAAAACAGAGAGGCTATGATTTCTGATCCAACACCAATAAACCGTGATACCTGCAGGTGATTTGTCATGAGTTGGGCTCTGGCACTAAAATGAGCTAAATGGTCCTTGAGTAGAATTGGGTGGGTGGGCTTATACTGAAGCCAGTGAGGTGAGCCTCCCCAGAATTCAAATCGGACCTACAAATTCATTGGAGTGTGATTTATAAATTCCTTTCGATTTAAAAATGACTAGTTTCTTTCTATTTTATTATGAACTTTACGTGGTAAGAATTGTGGATCAAACATGAGTGTTGATAACATGAAAGTTAGTGACTGACAGCTTGTATGTGCTGACTTTGAGGATAATGATTAAGGAATCAACAGATGTTTAACTTGCTACTGAAAAATCAAAGCTTAACATTTCCTAAGATTTTGAAATCAGGCATTTTAATTTGGCAGAGATATTTTTGACAACTTCCGTAATTTAAAAGTATCATTTTTTAAAAAGCTTGACTTGCTCTTGGTCGAAGCCTTGCGTGTGAAGGCTCAGCCTCAGAGGAGTGCCTGTGATGGGAGGTGGGTGCGGAGCCACTGCGGGGCTGAGCGGGGAGCGGGGAACAGGGAGCTGCTGTGGGGCCGGAATGTGGGGCTGCGGGCGGTTTGGCAGCCTGTGCATTTTGATACGCGCTGTTGACAGTCTGAAGTAAAATTTCCCCCGATACTAAGTAAGAATTCTTTGAGAGGAAGGTGACCGGTGTATTTTTATTTGCGTTTGAACACTGTTTGACTACAGTTGAAAGGGTGCGTTTTCCTGGTCCACGCGTGCTGTGACGACGCACCCGTCCCTGCCACTGCTGAGTAAGAGCTGTGGCCTGTGAGAGCTGATGTTTTCCACTCCTGTTACCAGTCGCATCTCTGCTTGTCCTGCAGGAATTCATGGGGAAATTTTACATTTGAAACATTTAGGCGACTACAGATAGAAAGCTTTTGTTTAACAATCTTTTCAACAAAGAGTTTTTTTTGGGTGGCTGGGGGTTCTGGACTTGGAACCGAGTCACAGCTTGGAAGTCTCTCTGACACACGGGGCTGGACCTGGAGTCGAGACAGTCGAGCACGGATGGTGACGGGGAAGCGGGCGGGTTCTTCCAGCAGCAGGAGGAGCAACGGCAGAGGCTGGTCACCCTCGAAGGTAGGGGGCTGAGTGTTTCACCCTCGAGCTGAGGGCAGGCGGCAGAAAGGATCTGAAGGTGAGGTCTTCTGTCCTCTCGAGCCACTGCTGCACCTCCCAGCACCACCTCTGCGCGCCGCGCAACTAGTGCCTGGACCCAGCCGGCCCCATCTGACACCCTGCCCGGCGCGGGGTGCCCAGGCCAAGCCCACGCTGCCTTCACTGGCACCCAGGGTCGTCTGGCCCGCACGCCCAGCCTCGGGCCCGCTCCTCCTCCCGGACGGTCCCTGCGTGTGCCATCCTTCCTTCCATCACCAGGTCTCCCCACATCCTGTGCCCGTTTCTGAATCGCTGCCTCCCCGTTATGGCTGACTGTCCTCATCCCCCAGCACCCTTTCTCCAGGAGGCTCTTCTGGCCCCCGGGCACTCGCTTGTGGAGCACAGTGCTTTCTCGTCGTCATTTGCCCAATTTCTCTCTTTTCCTGTGGACCTTATGCCGGTGAGCCTGGAACCCACGTCTGCTGTGTTTACTCCGCCCAGTGTCCAGAGCCTTTGAAGAACAGGACCGCTGACCCTTGAACAACTCGGGTTTGAACTGCGGGTCCTTGTCAGGCGTAAATGCTGCAGGGTGACTGGACTGGGGGTTGGACCTGCGGGCGCAGAGGAGCCTGGTAGCAGACGGCTGGCTCCGTGAGACAGATTTCCGTGCTGAGGGTCAGCGCCCCAAGCCCTGTGGTGTTCAGGGCCAGCTGTGCTCTGTGAATGTGTATCCGACTCCCCTGGTTAACTGTAGGCTTAGAGTAACACCTGTAAGGGGTAAGATTCTTACTCAGTGAAGCAAATTGATTTAGCGCTGGAGGACAGAGTTTCCCTGGAAACACACGCGTGGGCATCCGTGTTCTTTAGAGAACGTGAAGCACACGTCCCGAGCGCCGTCCCACCTGGCGGGTGACCGCTCTCACGGCTTCTCTTCCAGGAGCAGGAGTCTGATGAAGAACAGAAGGGTTTCCGGCTGTCTGCTCGACATCGCGGCCTGCTCAGCCCAGGACGCCCGTCCATCACGCTCGTCAGGTACCTTCTCACCCTGTTTTGTTGGGCCCTGAGAGAAGCATCCAGCCCTGTCTCTGCCACGGCCTCGTTTCACGTCCTTGTGCAAGTAACTTCGTCTCCTGGAGGCGCTGGTTGTCCGCGGGAGGGGGAAGCGGGGCAGGACGGGAGGGAAGACTTCCTTTTCACAGCGTACCCTTTGTTTTCTCCTGAATTTTACATAGTATGCAGGTGTCATTCATTACAGTTACTTTAATAATGAAGTTTAAAAGAAAAATAAGGCACTGTTCCACTGAGTAACTATTTTATGCCAATATTGACTATAATGTTAATTTTCATGAGAAGAGGGGGTGCACTGTGAGTCTGCGCGTGTAAGCACCTCTAGTAGTTAACGTCACCACCCGGTGACAGTGACTACCGCACAGCAACAGAAAAGAGCCAGCTGCCGATCCAGCCCAGGTGCGTCCCAGAAACACTATGCTGAGTGAAGCAACTAGATGATGAGGAGCGTGTAGAGGGTGAATGTGCCCGCAGGAAGTTCAAGGACAGCCAAAACGCAGAAGCCAGAGCAGTTCAGAAAAGCACGGCTGGTCAGGCGGGAGCCTGCTGGAGGGGCGGGGGTCACGCGGCATGCGCGTCTGTTGGGGGAGCCCTGTGCCAGAGGTCTGCACACGTCGCAGAACATCGCCCGCGCCTTAGTGAACAGGGCTGCACAGTCGCCACCAAGCAGTCTGCTTGGTCAAGGCACGTGCGATACGAGTGGCCGTGAAAGAAACTGCGTCTCGTCTTGACTTTAAAATAAAGGCACTAGGGTTTCGTTTTTTAATCATCAAAGTATCTTTTAGGAGGATCACTGTTATCCTGTTACTCGTTTAAGGTAAAACAAAATATGCTATAGGCTTCTTGTTCACCAGCAAAATCAAAGGCGGCGTGTCTGTGGGAGCAGCTTCCTTTTTCAGTGTTGTCTGAGAGCAAGGTGCTTTATGAAGGCACCTTTTCCAGACGACTCAACCCGTCTCCTCAAGGCTCATTTTTAAGGGCCCTTTAAAAAAGTCATGCTACTGAGGGGAAGTCGGAAATAGAAGAGGCCTTTGCTGGCTTGTGGGTCCCTGCAGAGGGAGCCGGAACCCCATCCTCCTGCTGCGGGTGTTCAGTGGGCGCCTCCTGGGCAGCCGTGAGGTCGGGGAAGGGAGGCGGGGGGTGTGCTGGGGGCACCCCAGCTTTGGAGAGTTGACCACGTGTCTGAACAGCTCACCTTTGGGGCCCTATTTTGAAGCTGAATTTCTGCACATCTTTCTGCAGTGGGGGTGCTGGATTTCAGGGTGCGTCAGCACAGCTGTCTCGTCAAACAGACGCTGAAAGCTGCCTGTCCGCAGTGACGAGAGGACAGTCATTGCCATCGTGGTGCTGCTGCGTCCCCGGCAGCGACAGGGCTTGGTGCCCGGCAGCCTTTCTTCCTTCTCTGCCCAGATCAAGCTCTCACCATGGCTCTGGACTCCTCCTCGTCCCCACCCTGTGCCTCCATTTTCCGTCCTTCTCAGTCTGTTGCTCCTTGTGCGCCCCTGTAGTCGCCTCGCGCAGTGAGTGAGCCCGTGCTCCCGTGGCAGCGTTCTGGGACGAAGCCGCCTCCAGAGGCCGCAGGCGAGCTCTTCCAGCTCTTCCACTTGCCTCTGGTTTGGACAGAGCTTAGAAAATCGTGCTGGAGGTCTGCCTCCCCAAGATATGGCGGGTTGGCTGTGGAGGGCCCTTGGCTGCAGCCTGGCTGGCTGTGGTGTCCCTGGAGTAGGGCCTGGGGCCGAGAGGCGCCTCCGGGACGGCCCTGTCATCATGCTCTGCGCTGTCCCTGCCCTTGTGCCCAGCTTGTGGGTTGATTTCATTTATTTCACTTGTATGTATTGTGTTTCTGTTCTTTCATGCTCCTGCCATGGGTTTCACAGCTCGCAGTTCCTTAGGTGTCACCAGAGAGTGAGTGAAGAAGATTAAGCCAGTGGTTACGTGGGACATTTGGATTCCCCGTTATCTGTATCCACAGCTACCAAGCTAGGGACGGACGCTGGTAGGGGGCTGCCTCCTCCGTGGGACTGTGTCTTCCCTCCGGTGTGCAGAGGCGCAGCCCGCTGTGGGCCCACTGGCCCGTGTTTCCAAATCACTCGTGCTAACGCCTCTGTTTGAAAGTGTTGTCCCTGGAAACGAGGCTTAAGGTGGCTGTCTTCTGTCGACACAGGCTTAGCGGGGAAATCGAGCACCGTTTACCCTGGTTCTGCAGAATCGCCTCTTCCCGGAGTTTGCAGAGAGTTGATTGGTTCATCGTTAGAGCTTCTGGGCCACAGTTACGATGAAGAAAACACCGTGGCAGACAGCCTGATCAGTAACCTCCTGAGAATCTGCGAGGGCATCCTTGCCATTTCCAAAGCTCACAGGAACAGGATGAGGACAGTCAGTGTGACGGTGAGCAGCCTGCGCCCGCACGCCCCCTCCGGGAAAGGCGCGCCCCGCCCTGGGCGGCTGCCGGCCTCGTCTGAGTGTGTCACGTGTTCTCATGGCGAGCGTGTTGAGCTCTCTTATCTGGAGCTTATTTCTTGGAATAACTCTCCTTCTTCTTTCAAAGTGTTCTCCGACGGGGCCACCCAGTCGCTCACCGTCCGGGTGGCGAGCGCTTTTGAGCAGCTGGTGGTGCTGACGAGGCTCTGGCTGAGGGGTGAGCTCCCTGGAGGCAGCGCCGCGGCTCTGCCGGATGAGCTGAGGCAAGAGGTGGAAAGACTAGGAGGCTGCTTACAGTTATTTCTGCAGGTAAAGTGACTTGCTGAGCATCTCTAGAAGAATTTGTTGGCTCAGGAAGTATTTATTAACTGTCTCCTGTTCGCGTCTTGCCCCGAACTAGACCTGCGCCCCGGGCGCGGGCAGCCCTAGTGACGCACGCGGTAGCTCCTGTAGCCCCCAGCCCAGCCGGCGGCCGGCGCTGGTCTCCACGCCCTCAGGGAGGACACTGAGCGCCCGGCCAGGGTCGCACGGCTAGTGAGGCAGGTTTGGCCGAGCCCCAGGGCGTGCCATCTGAGCCCCAGCAGGGCTGCCGGCAGGACGGGGAGCCCTGCCCTGCGTGTGGGTTGGGTTCCGCTGGTGCTGAAGGGGTGCCAGCCTGCAGACCCAGGCAAGGAAAGGGGCTTTGTTGTCGTCCCTCCCTCCTGTCAGGTAAGATGAGGTCGGGCAGCCGGGACGTCAGACCACAGCTCACATCTCAGCAGAGTCTGGAGTCGGCTGGGTGGTCGTGCTTCCCCGAGTCCTCGGGGCCCAGGCTCCTCCTGTCCCTGCGCTGTGCCTGGAGTGTGGCTCGGCTCCGTGGGAGCTCAGGTCACACGGTGGCAGACGCAGTGGCCAAGGGCAGGGCCGCCGGGGCCTCTTAAGGGAGGTGCCTGAAGTTGCCGTTGACATTTCCACTTACACGTCTCAGCCAGAACCTCCGCGCAGCCCCACCAAGCGGCAGGCTCGCTGGGAAGGTGGTCTCTATTCTGGGCAGTGTGCGCCGGGGCACCAGTGAAAGACGGCCACTGTGGAGGGAGGGGCGGACCCCGGGGGGCCTGGTCGTCTGCTGTGGCCCAGGCTCCCCTGAGAGAACGCCTGTGTGCGGGAGACCCGACGCCAAAGCCAAAGGGGGTCGGGCTCACCTTTAAAAACGAACAGTCAGGCCTCCTAGCACAAGGTTCCAGAACACCTGGGCGGGCCTTCTCGGGCCCACCACGAGCCCTCCCCGGGCTGGGCCTGCAGCGGAGCTCAGTCATACCAGCCGCTTCTTTCGAGGGGGCAGGGCTCTGGTGTCGCCTGGCAGACGGGACAAGTGGGGACGTGCCCCGTTGCTCTGGGGCACCCGAGACCTTCAGTTTGCATGTTTCAGGCACCCCTCCCCACTTTTTCCTGGTAACAGAGCGTCTTTGTTCCCCGTCCTCCAGACTGGGCAGACCCGGGGGGGACCCAGGAAGGAGCTCGGGCCACCCTTCTCCCACTGAGCGCCGGGCAGGCCCGTCTCCGTCAGGTCACCGCCTTCTTGCCTCCCAACTCCTGTGTGTGGAAGGTCTTGGGGGCCTGTATCTGAGTCATTTTTGCCATGGCTGTCGTGTTGCACGTTTCCTGGTTCTGCCCAGACTTGGGTGACGCGCAGTCGCTGTCGCTGAAGCAGGCTCCGTGTTCCCCAGGTGGGTCTCGTCTGTGCCCGCCCTCGTGACTGCGTGCGTCCGGTACCCTGGTCCTTCTGTCCTGCAGGGCTGCTCCTCAGACATTTCGTCAATGGTGAAGGAGGCTCAGAAGCAAGTGACGCAGACTGTGCTCCGAGCTGTGAAGTGCGTGGGCCAGTTGGCAGCCCTCAGAGGAACCGAGCTGCACCCTCCAGAGAACAGCGACAGGAGGGCGGCTGGGGGCCAGGTAGCCAGCCAGGCCGGGCCACTGTGAAAACTTCATCCGATAACGGTGTCACTAAACAGGATGAGTTTTCATTTTCCAAAATGGCACATGCTTTTACTAGTTCTGCAGGAAGATCCACAGCTGTTACAGGCTAAGTGGGCTGAGCGTGCCCGATGGTCTGGGTCCTCTCCGCACCTTCGGGGTCTTTGACTTGATGGTACCGTGTACTCTGAGGGTTTGCTCAGCCGACCGACACGGGAGGAATGAAATCACATTCTCATGTAATTCTAGAGAATGTGTGTTTGCTTGCTTTAACTGTTCATGCTGCTGCAAACATAGTGTGATATTAAACGTGACCGTGTTCCAGCGGCAGCAGCACCCTGTGGTGAGAAACATTCCTTCCAGCATGTTATCTGTGGGACGCAAAATCAGAGGCTTGCTGACTTTTTCCCTTTATAGACTGTTAGTTCTCTTACTCCAGCGTTAGTTGAATTAATAAACTTGGAATGTATTACAGTCCTAAAATAAGCAGAAAATATAACTTAATTATTTGATAATTTTTTAAAAATATAAAACTTGAATTTGCCAGTTAACACTTGGAACGTTTCTCTAGGATGATTTCATGGACGCCCTCTGTGATGGCGTAGGCTCGGGGCTGGAGCATCTGCTGGATTCTGGACTAGAAAAAGCAGAAGAGTTAGCGCGTGAACTCCTGCGGCAGGACACCCCCAGCGAGGTGAGAGGGACAAGAGAGGGCTGTGCTCAGCACCGGAGGTGTCTAAGGTTGACTTAAAAATAATTTAACTCAGCGAATGAGGTTTCTATAAATTTATCTAGTTTAGTTTGTGTTGAATTATTTTTTATTGATAAGGCCAATGACATTTCCCGGTTACACCTGAGCGCTGCGGCCTCTCCGGGCAGTGCTTTGCTGGACCTGCCATGGCTGGTGTCAGCGGGGATCCAGGAGGACAGAGTGTGTCAGTGACGCCTCGTGTCCACCTTCTGCTTGTGTTTTTCCTCCTGGTCTTTGTCCACATGAGAGTGGAAACGACCATTCGTTGATCCAAGGGGCTGTTGAACAAGGGGTGTTCACATCAGTTGTTCCCTGTCAAGATGCAGAACCTAGGAGACTGTGGGGGACTTCCTAGACACGCCTGCCCGCGCCCCCGGCTAACTAACATGAAAGCAGAGAACCTGTGCTGTCCCCGAGGTGGCCCCTGGGGACGGGCTGGATTTTGTCATTGAAGACCTGTGTGTATGAACTGCCTGTCACCTTCCAGCGGTCGTTTGCCGAGTCACTCAGTGTCCTGACCCTGTTTCCTCACCTGTCCTGAGTGAGGACGCCTGTGTCACAGGCTGTGGGCTGGTTGTTTATTAAATAACTCCTGGCAGGGGTCCCTGGGTGGGTGCCTTACGCAGAGCAGTGCTGACCTCCCTCGGCACCCTGCAGCGTGGGCGTCACTGCCGCCCCGTGGTCTGGCTGAGCCGGGGACCCCGCCTGGTTGCCCCGAGTCAGGGTCTGCATGCTGCCTGCCGGGCTCCCAGACCGCCTGCCGTGTGTGTCCTGTTAACAGTACCGCGTGGTGTATGTGAAGGCCGCTGAGACGGTCAGTCTTAAAAGCTCTGATCTCAAGAAAACATCTTGTAACTATGAGGGGACGGACGTTAACCAGACTCACCGGGTGATTATTTCATAATAGGCAGGTTTCGTGCTGTACACCTGAGACTAACACGGTGTCACGCGCCAGTTACTTCTCAGTAAGGCTGGTAAGATGCGTGTGTAAAGCTCTGAGGGCGTAATTTTTGCTTCATGTATTAGTTATCTCCCCTCCTTCCAAGGGAGGTTTCGGAAGTTTCATTCCTATAGATATTTAAATAGGCAAATGCTATTACCAATGCTGTAGCACACAGCAGAGGGTCTCCGTATTTAATGCAGAATCAACGAGCAATTTACTTGGAAACTGCGCTTCTGTGAAGCAGGCGCTCGCACTGTGCGATCGCAGTCTCAGGGACGGAGCTCCAGGCTCGCTCTGGACTAGAACGCCGCTCCCCGGCAGGGCCCACGGAGCTGACCGACGCGTGCGCTCCGCATCGTGCTTGTGCGGTAACGCGCTTCACCGTTCTCTGTAGGTCACCAAACGGATGAAGGCCAGTGCCGTGGGGTTGATCGGATCCCTCGAACACCTCTTTGCTGAGTGGAAAACAGTAAGAGAAGCTTTACGCTGCTTCTGTGTTTTGTGCTGTTTAGTGTATTTGCGCTCTTGGCTCTGGTGGGGGGGCTCTGCTCGCGGCCCGCCGGCCCCTCCGCGCAGTGCAGTGGGGCAGGCGCGGGGGTCCCTCAGGCGTCTCTCCGGGATGTCGTGATTACGTCTGAGTGATGACGACACACTGCATAGAGATGGGCCAGCACGTGTGTATTCTGTCTGCGTCTTACTGCTGCTCAAACTTTGCTTGAATAGTCAGTGTAGGCTAAAAAATAGTGTTTAATAATCAATATGTTCAAAGGTTTTAAGACACAGAAAATTAGACATTATCTTATTCTCATGTCATAAGTAAACAGAAAAATATAAACCAAGTATATAATCAATGTATTAAAAAGAAGAGAAATTTCTATGGCTTGAAAATGTTTAAAATGAATGGGAGATATAAAGTTAAGCTCTTAAAAACGAAATAAATTTTCCTTCTATGATATTGGATAATAATAAATGGTATTGTTGTATTTCATTCTCATGGAATAGGATGATTGGACTTTGCGTTAAATTAATTAAAATGTTTAATTTCTTCTGGAAACAGTAGCTGTTAACGCTGTAACTCGGGCTGGCCTGCAGAAGCAGCGTCAAGCGCTGTGAGGAGGTCAGACGCACTCTTTCTCAAGGACCCGAGTCTGGCAATTAAAGTTGCTCTGATGAAGACTTACTGCCACGTAGCCTGTTACGCATTTTTTAAAACATTCACTCTATTTACACAGAAGAGTTTCAGAACGCAAGAAGAAAATCCTGAATACCAAGACTTGAAGAAGATGGTTAACCTTGCCCCAGAGTTCTTGAAGTTAAAACGTGGCTTAGAGCAAACCATTCAAATGACTGTTTCTGCAATGAGAGGTGCGTATCCAAGTGGGATTTATAGTTCACCACAGTGTGATAGTTTAAGTCTCAGACGCCTTTCATTTCTAGTCTGAGTCTTCAGCTGAAGCCTAATTCATCGGCATGAATTACCTGTAGGGGCTTGTGGCTGGGTCCCCACTGAATAGACATAAGCCCCTCGGCCTAAATAACTAGAGCCTGAAACCCGGGCTGCTTACTTAGCAGCCGAACGGGATAATCTTAAGCAGCTTGAAGCTGTCTGGAGAGGGTGGCTTTGGCTTAAGTGCCTCTCGGGTCGGCACAGCACTAACGCCTGGTGAGAACCAGAAAGGCTGATCTCCCCCCTCCTCCTCCCCCCTCCCCCCTCCCCCCTCCTCCTCCGTCTAGGCTGCCGCGGTGACGTGAGCCTTCTCAAGAATTGTATCGAGAGTCTCTGCAGCTCTGCCAGAGCCGTCCAGGCACGGGGCCCTGCCTCTGCCCAAAGCTCTGCGGGGAGCAGGGCTCGGGGGGACCACGGGGCCTTGGGGTCTCTGGCCACCTCGCTCCTCTTGTGTTTTGAATCTGAAGAAAGACCGGATCTGCTGGAACCTTGGGACGCGTGTAACCAAGGCCCCGGAGCAGAAGGCTGAGCGCCGTCTGTGTGGGCAGGC